TCCTATTAGGTTACATGGCCTATCATCATGTTAATTTACAATGTTCAGTATTGTACCTTTCCTCCTCTACTGCCCAGCCTCCCAGCCAATGGTGCTTCCACTACTTTCCCTGAGAGATTTTTACAAAGCCTAAGTAGACTTTGAATTAAGGAACTTTCTTTTTTTTGGGGGGCGGGGGCGGGAAGTGAATTCTCAATAGGGGAATAGCAGCAATAGCAACCAAAGTGTCATTTGTTACTTTGGGAACTTAGAAATGGCATTTGCTTGTGATGTAATTTCTCTGATGAATTGTAACTCTTTAAAAAGGGCACCCACTATAGCAGTGTGCATTATTCTCAGCTGCAACAATTAAAGTTGATTTTAATTGGAATTTCATCAATAACTCTTTAACAGCCTAGACTACAACCCCTTGGATTTATTGTGATACAACAAAAATAAGATAATAGACAATAGCCTCAGGAAAAATAAGCCTCAAGTATATCTATTCATTTTTATCACTTTGTAACAGCCAATACTTAAAAGTTTATGCAGCCAAAAATAAAAAGGAAAAAACATTTTGGGGATAGATAAAATAAAGAACAAAAAGATAAGGCCAAAGATAAACAAGATGGCAAAGATAGAAAAACAAGACTGAGACAGAGGAAATTTATTCGTGTATTTTATAAAAATCTGTAATGTGCCCAGCCTTGTCTGAACATACATCCCCTATATAAATTCAAATACAAAATATATTTAAGAATTATTCACTCTCCTTGACATACAAATGAATATCCACCAGCAAATATTAAATCTGGCTCTGGTGGATCACCTTGTGGAGTGAGATCCATAGTCAAGGAATCCTTACAGAGCACACACCATTTATAGAAGGGCGCTTCAGCTTGAGCACCTCCATTTATGACAAGTGTAGCAGCATCACATGGGGTCAGAGGTGGTCTCTCAGGTCATTGTTGTTATCACCAAGGCAAATCCCAATGGGACATAGCCTATTTGCAACTCACATGCCAGCCTGATCAATCTCTAGGTAGATACGTAAGGCAGCCTGGCTGGATGTTCAGTCTATGACCACCACTGGCAATTTTATCATGCCACTGAAGCTTTTGGCGATCATATGATTATGACTGCGTAGCAGCATTCCTTGGCAAATATACTTCATAATTCATTGCTCTTCTATCCTAATAATATATCTATACCAATAGCATAGCTAGGGGGGGAGCAGGGGGAGCGGCCGCTCCCCCACTGAGCACATTCTCCAAAAGCGGCGCCTTAGGTGCCGACTCCGTGGGTGCTCCGGGGCTGGAGCACCCACGGGGAAAAATTGGTGGGTGCTGAGCACCCACCGGCAGCTCCCCGGTCCCCCGCCCCCCCACCCAGCTCACCTCCGCTCCACCTCCTCCCCTCAGCGCGCCACTGTGTTCTGCTTCTCCCCGGCTCCCAGCGCTTGCACCGCGAAACAGCTGATTCACGCGGCAAGCCTGGGGCGGGGGGAAGGAGGGGGAACGCGGCACGCTGGGGAAGAGGAGGGGCCAGGGTGGGGGTTTGGGGAGGGGTCCAATAGGGGCAGGGAGGGGGCGGAGTCGGGGGTAGGGGGCGGGGATTTGGAAAGGGGTCCAATAGGGGTAGGGAGAGGGCGGAGTCGGGGCGGGGCCGGGTGGGGCCTTGGAGCAGATCCGGGTGCTGAGCTGAGAACAGGGGCAGAGCCCAAAGGATCAAGTCAGCGGCTGGCCATCCCCAGACCCCAGCCCACTCCTGGGTCTGCTGCGCCCGGACTCCAGCCGCGCGCCGCGCAGGGAAGGCAAGCCTGGCGCGAGCAATCTGCTTCTCCTTTGGAGCTTTTAATTCAAAAAAGGCGGAAATCTGGTGGCTCCAGACAATGCGGAGTCTTTTTTTCACATGGGGGGGAAGCTCCCAGTTTGCCCCCCTGCCTCTGAGGCTGCCTGCCCCGCTTTGGGGGCTTTCCCCTTACAGAGCTCACCTGCCAGGAAGTTGCAATTTGAGGCTGGGGCTTTGGAGAGACGGACCCCTGGTGTCACTCCCCACACACACCCCAGCTGGTCTCCGCTGATCCCTTTGCTACAGTGTGTGCACGGGCCAGGGAGTGGGGGCTGCAGGGGCTGGGCCAGCTTCGCAGTGTTTAGCTCTGGTGCCTCTCCCGAGCTGGCAGAGGGGTTTGCGGAGTGGTAATTAGTAATTTGATATGTCGGGTGGTGCCTTTTTTTAGGTGTTCACTCCCCCTGATGTTAGAACCTGGCTACATCACTGATCTGTACGAAGGAAACTATTGAAACCAGTGCTGATAAAGATGGTTGCTGGATTTGGCTATAAATATTGCTGAACTTGTCCTGTCACTTAATATGGAACAGCTGATGAAGATGATGATGATTGAAAATGTCAGCCTGTGCCCCAAACCACTGAGAGCTTTATGGGCTAAGAGCAACACCTAGAATTCCACCTAGAGACTTAATGTAAGCCAGGGCAGATCCCAGAGCACTGGTGTTTTGGGCTCCTGACACGAAATTCAATGTCTTAAGCAGGTGAAAATATTCTGCACTAGATTCAGTTTGTGAATGGCCTCAAGGTGTAGTCCTATGTAGAGCACATTACAGAACTGTAGATTTGAGGTGATAAAGGTGTGGATAACTGTGGCAAGGTACACACGTGAAAGAAAATTCTTTTCATCAGGCACAGATGCAAACAGCATTCTAGGCCACAACTGCTGCCTAAGTTGCAAAATGAACATACACAACTGAATTAGAAGTGGTGGTTCCACAGCGTCAATCAATGCAGGCACAGATATCATTTTTTCCAACTCTTCTGCTGCTTCCCCAAACAACTTAGATCATCTCACTGTTGTCCAGATTAAGTTGCAGCCAGCTAGCCGTGCCCCAAATTAGTAGACACTGATTCATTACATTGTTGTAGCCAGGCCAGGAGCAATGGAGACAGAGCTGAGTGTTACAGCCCACATCTAACCTTCCCATCAGCCTGATATACACTGTGTATAGGAGAGGAGACAATATGTATTCTCCCAAAAGTGTCATTTATAACTTGAAAAGCTCTCCAGAAGACAAATAATGGCAGTCAGTCAAAGGCAGCTATTTGCACACATGGAGTGTTGACAGAAACTAAAGAGTAGTCCCTGTGACGTTGCACTCCATATGTTTTATGGAAATATACTTATGAGTGTGAATATGATGTAACTGGAATATGCTTTATGCAAAAGTTTTCTTGTAAGGTATAACAAAGGTTATAACCTACTGAATGTATTCCTCCTATTTGTATGTATGTATCATTCTTGTGTCTGAAGCTAGAAATATGAAGTATAACTCTGAGGTCTTATTGTAATTATTCAAAGTGTGGGCCATTAATGGCAGCTTAGAATCTTGATGGCTCCCATTGACTAGGACAATTGGTTGTGAATGGGTTTATTTACCTGCAAGCCTTCCTGTGTACGTGTGTGTGTGTGTGTGTGTGGGCCAGCCCGTGGGTAATGAAGAATGAGGTCTTACAGTGACATGTGAGCATGTCACCTGAGATTGGAATCCATCTTTTATCTGGTACTTCTCAATTTAGAAAGAGGAGTGGGGACCCAGAGAGACAAAAGATTCCAGCCTTGTGCCAAAGCTATAAAAGGGGGTGGAACAGAACAAAGGAGGCTGCCAGTCATGAGAAAACCCCTAGTTTCCACCTAAGATGTCTGGCAGGGCCGCCGAGAGCGGGTTTGGGACCCGGTGAAAAAAATTTTTCGGGCCCCCCAGCAAGGGTGGACCAGCTAAACAGGGCTGACGGGGGGCAGGGGGGGGGGGGAGGAAGCCGGGTCCGGAATTTTTTCGGGCCCCCCAGCAAGGGCGGACCAGCTAAACAGGGCCGACGAGAGGGGGGGGAAGCTGGTACCTGGGCCCCCTTCCGGACCACCAGGCCCCGGTAATTTGTACCGGCTCCCTCCCCGCCCTCTCGTCGGCCCTGGCTGGAACTAACATGGACTGTACCAGGGGAAAGGATCGGGCCCAGTCTAGGAAGAAGTCTAGTCGGTGAAAGAAGCTTTTTGGAACATTTCTGAGGGTGAGATTTTACCTGTAAACAGTTTCTTAATGTATTAGGCTTAGACTTGCGTGTTTTTGCTTTATTTTGCTTGGTGACTTACTTTGCTCTGGAACCACTTAAATCCTATTTTTTATACTTAATAAAATCACTTTTGTTTATTAATGAACCCAGAGTAAGTGATTAATACCTGGAGGAGCAAACAGCTGTGCATCTCTCTCTCTCTCTGTGTTATAGAGGGCAGACAATTTATGAGTTTACCCTGTATAAGCTTTATACAAAGTAAAACGGATTTATTTGGGGTTTGGATCCCATTGGGAACTGGGTGTCTGCATGTTTGAGATAGAAGACCTATTGAGCAGTTTTTAGTTAAAGTCTGCAGCTTTGGGGCGTGGACCAGACCTGGTCTGTGTTGCAGCAGGCTACCGTGTCTGGCTCAACAAGGCAGGGTTCCGGAGTCCCAAGCTGGCAGGGAAAACGGGCTCAGAGGTAATCTCAGCACGTCAGGTGTTAGTCCCAAGGGGGTCTCTGTGACCGAATCGGTCACAGTCCCTTCTTAAAAAATTAAGTCTTGATAATCTTGCAGGATTCAGCATGCACACACAATTATTAGTTGCCTCCTCACTCTCAATATGCCATTATTTAAATGTGTTGGCTGTACTAAAGAAAATGGAAGTTGGCACAGAAAATATCTTATTTCTCTTACCCATCGAGTAATACGAGAATCTCAAAAGGTTTAGAAGTACTGTCAGATACTGCAGATTCTGAAGTTGTGACTACTTATCTTAACCACGAGTCTTTTGGAGCTATGCTCACTCATCCATTAACAGTTTGTACAAACAGCCTCTGTGTCTATTTTGAATATAAAAGTAAAACTGACTTTTTGTTTTTCTTTTTATCTGACCTACATTCATTTTATCTTACAGTTGCTTTGTACGCTAAACGGAAGTGTAAATCCTTACCTTAAATTTGTCAACTTCTGCCTTTGAACATGTTGCATGGTAGGACAGCACCTGATGCAGAACAAAAGAAAAAAAATCAATTTTTCACAGTGGATAAGTAGAAATTAGAGGGTTCCTTGATGCTGTCTAATAAATTGCTTTAAAAACAAGTTTTATTAATATTTATGCAGCATCAGTTAGCTATGAATTACAACATATATAACTAATTGCAGGTTCTCAGGTATACATCTCGCATTTACATTCCAGATAATTTTATCGGAAACCCATACACAGTAAGTAGTGTAATACTAAAGGCATAATTATAGTTCTCTTGAAATCCTGCAATTAAAAGAGAAAAGGTCCATGTTTATTTGTACTTTGATTTCGAAGTAATGATACTCATGAAACTGTTGAGCTTATGTCCTTTCTAAAGGCATCTCACTGCTAGCTAATTATCATTTCTAGCCTATAGCTGTCATTCCCTTAAATATGGTGCTCTAGAAATGAGTACTTCCAGAAATAGCAGCTGGTATGTAAGGGATGGGCCACAGCGTTGAGACATATATGAATATGCATGTACATACCTGGAGTAAAATGTATCCTTCTCTAAGGGAAATATTCACCCAGCAATCCAGAAGCTGCAGAAGGCTCTCTGTGCATGGAACCACCTAAGTTCCACTCTGCATAGGATGGGCAACTGTGGCGCAGGCACACAGGACAACTCTGCAGCATCTATGCATTCCCACAGAGGAAGTTTCTTCCAAACCCACACAGCTGGTGGCTGGTTGGTTTATGTTATGAAGCACTCAGGTTAATATCCGTTATTTTAAAAAATGGTTGTATGCATTTAATATAAATTGTGGGTGTTTTTATTATCCATATAAATGTCTACTCTCTTTTTCGAACCCTCTTAATCTTTTGGCCTGTAACATTGAGTTCCATCCGTTAATTGGGAGTTGTGTAAAATGTATTTCTTTATAGCAGTTTTACATTTTTTGCTCTTTAGTATTTATTGAATGTCCTGTTGTTGCCTTATGAGAAAAGGTAAATAGCAGCACCCAAAGTACCTGCTCTATTCCCTTTATCCTGTTCTTAGCTTATATTATAACCCTCAGCCCCAAACAGCATCAATTTTTTGGGTCTTATCCTATTAGTCTCTCCATATTTCTAATAACTTAGATTGCCTGTCTCTGAAGCCCTTTCATTTCCATTATATCTCTTTCCAGAAAAGGTGACCAGAACTGTGTACACCAGAGGTGGGCAAACTACGGCCCGCAGGACTGTCCTGCCCGGCCCCTGAGCTCCTGGCCCGGGAGGCTAGCCCCTGGCCCCTCCCCTGCTGTCCCCCCTCCCCCGCAGCCTCAGCTCGCTCGCTTCGCCGCCGGCGCAATGCTCTGGGCGGCGGGGCTGTGAGCTCCTGGGGCAGCGCAGCTGCAGAGCCCGGCCTGACCCGATGCTCTGTGCTGCATGGTGGTGGCGGTGGCATGGCCCGGCTCCAGCCAGGTGGTGCGGCTGTAGCGCCGCCAGCCACCGGTGCCCCAGGCAGCGCGGTAAGGGGGCAGGGGGTTTGGATAGAGGTCAGGGGAGTTCAGGGTGGTGGTCAGGGGGTGGGGGTGTGGATAGGGGTCGGGGCGGTCATGGGGGGAACAAGGGGTTGAATGAGTGCAAGGGTCCTGGGGGGGCAGTCAGGAAGGAGGGCGGGGTTGGATGGGGCTGCAGGGGGCATTCGGAGCAGGGGTTCCGGGGGCAGTCAAGGGACAGGGAGAAGGGATGGTTGGACGGGGCAGGGGTTCTGGGGGGGGCCGTCACAAATGAGAGGAGGGGTTGGATGAGGTGGCAAGGGCCCGGGGGCGGTCATGGGACAGGGAGCGGGTGTGTGTGGATGGGGCATAGGTCCCGGGGCGGCCGTCAGGGAACAGGGGGGGTTGGATGGGGCAGGAGTTCCGGGGGGGGGCCAGATAGGAGGTGGGGGCCAGCCCACAACCTCCTCCTCTAACCAGCCCTCCATACAATTTACGAAACCCGATGTGGCCCTCGGGCCAAAAAGTTTGCCTGCCCCTGATGTACACAATTCTAAGTGAGGGCATAACAAAGATTTACATTTTGTCATAATATTTTGGGATTTTTTTAACCTATTCATTATGCAACCAAACATTTTTATTAGCTTTTTGGGCCACTGCAGCACATTTAGCAGAGCTTTTAATTTAGTTGTCTACAACAGTGCCCAGGTCTCTTTCCCGACTGGTTACTGTTAATTTAAAATCCAGCAATATGAATGATCAGTTCAAATTATTCCTTCTGAAGTGTATTAGCTTGTAATGGTCAACATTGAATTTCTTCTGTCACAGTGCTGCTCATTTAGCTAGATTTGTTAATTCCTTCTGAATTTTCTCTCTTGTCTAGTCTTGTTTATTCCAAACTAATTTTTTTATCTGCAAACTTTTCTATCCTGCTGTTCACTCCCTTTCCCATATCTTTAATAAATATACTAGGTACATAGGACTGGAAGGGATCTTCAGTGTCATCAAGTTAAGCCCCCAACAACACTTATCCTAGAAGGAAAGCTTAAGGCATTCCATTGTTGATCTTTTGCCGTATTGAAAACTAACCATTTATTCCATCTTTTGTTTTCCGTTTCTTAGCCAGTGTTATGAGAGCTCCATAAAAAAAGCAGTATCTACAAATCCCAATATACCGGTAGTCTGTATCAAACAGACTTCTCTTAAATCTGGTTATAATGTCAATTTGAAATGCCACTCAGTTATTGCAGATCTAGCTAGATCAGTAAACATATATAAATATTAACAAAGTATTTCCATTGTTGAGAAAAGGATTCTTTGTCCCTCAATAGAGAGTTACTAGCCTCTTTTTGTTCTGTATTTTTTGCACTCATCTCAACCAGGTACTATCATGGGAAGTTTCTCATTTAAAGAAAGAATAACTGTTCATTGAAATATGATAGCCATTCATCATACCTATAATCAACATCCACACCACATGGTGATTAATCTTTATAGAATGTCCAAGAGAGTAGTTGTATTTTACAACCAAGCAATTCTGTTTTCTTAGATAAAATAACGAATAGCCATTTCCCACCTAAATCTTCCTTGCTTTGTACCTGCTCAGTTTAATATTTGCCATAATTTGATTTTCTTCTCACGGAAGGGAATTCAATTCAAGATGTGATTTTATGTGAAAAAGTTGGGGTTTGTGAGGTCTTGCAAATAGTTAATAATTATTATAATTGTAAAGAGTATTGAGTCCCACAACAGCCCTAAAGAAAGAGGGTTTACACTGTGCCTCTTAAATCTTAAGTCTTTATACAAACATAGGTGTTGAGCCAAAAAAGTGCTTCAGCATATGCTCAGATTTAATCATGTAAGTACTCCCATTGGCTTCAAAGGATTTAACATTAAGCACACACTTAAATGCTTTGGATTGTGCTGTGGACTGAGACCATAGTGACACAGATAATATCTCCAGGACAAAAAATAGCTTTTGCCATTTTCATAAGAGTTCAGGGGTTTATGACTTAATTCAGATCAAGTTCCCTTCTGCTATTCTTAATGAGCTATCCCACATTTGTGCGTGTTATATAAATCTAGTGGATTTGGCCATTCAAGGGATAAGTACATTGAGAATCCACATCATCATGAAGTTGAGGTCATGTGTGGAAATCCAAGACATTACTGCAAATCTAGGGGAAATTACTTTTCTCCTGACAAAAAATATGACCATCAAATACTAGGGGGAGTTTGCATGTGGCCATTAAAAAATATGGAACTAAGCTATCATAGATTCACATAAGAAGAAAGAGAGGAAACCATAAAGGTAATAAATACATTGCATTTTTAACAAGGGCTACTGGTAATTGTGTGAACCAAGAATGAGAAGTTCAAGTGGATTACAGATTTCTTGAAACTCAAGAAAAATATTATCTTCATGTATAATGTGGGTGTATTTTTATAAATAAATAAATATATGTGTCTTATGTGTAAGACACATAAAAAAAATCCAGTTTTCCCTGGCAAACTTAATTTGATGATTTATACCACTTTCACTAACTTATTTGATCTTCAACTTCTCACTCATTTCTCTAATAAAACAGTAAATCTAGGAATTTTAAAGACCCTGTTTTGCAGTATAGTAACTAAAACCCTTTAAAAGACTTATCTTTTTCAAATAAGTGTGATTTTTTTGACTTTAGTGAGAGTTTCATGCCTAAAACCTCTGTACACCACTTTGAAAATGTAGGGGGACGGAACCTCAGCATGACATCATCTGTAAAAAGCAAGCCTGTAAAGCCTTTAATTTGTAAGACTATACTAGGTACATATATTATAAATTATATTTAATGGAAAGGACAAAAATTCATTATACCCTCGTGAAACAAGAGTTCTTTCTATTTCATAGGTGTAATTGAATCAGATCTATGTTTTGCTAGAAGAACTATATAAGCCTCTGATTACATCATAACTATATCATCCAATTTTTAAGAAGTGTCTTAAAAACAGCAGGAACATTTAAAAAATAATCCTCATTTATAGTGCTGTCATTCTGAATGTCAAATAGACACACAGCTACCCCACCACTGCATTCACAGCCTTAGGAGCAGCAGAGGACATCTATATGACCAGCTTCAAAGCTTTGTTTCTTTGTGAATGAAGCCAATGTGAGCAGTTAGAGGTAGACTTTTTACATAATTACTCTTAAATAGGGCTGTCAAGTGATTAAAAAAAATAATTGTGATTAATCACGCAATTAAAAAAATTAATCGTGATTAATCCCATGATTAATTGCACTGTTAAACAATAATAGAATACCATTTATTTAAATATTTTTTGATGTTTTCTACATTTTCAAATGTATTGATTTAAATTACAACACAGAATACAAAGTGTACAGTGCTCACTTTATATTTATTTTGATTACAAAGTTTTGCACTGTAAAAAACCCGAACCACCAAAAAGAAAATCAACCTTCTGCTGGTGGCATCTGACTCAGATGATGAAAATGAACATGCATGGGTCCACTCTGCTTTCGATCATTATCGAGCAGAACCCGTCATCAGC